AAGGAAACATTTGTAACTTTTATTTTGTCAGCATCTTTGATTCCCCCGTTTTTATTTAACTTTTCTGGAAAGCTCATCCTGACCCTTTAATATTCACCCAGCTGACCTCAGGCTGTCAGTCGTCCCACCAGTATTGCTATGAAACAAAGAGAACTAGCTTCCAGATGCACAACACCTTTTGAGTGTTACGTTCGACTCACGATCTGACCAGAGTGTGTCTGACTTTGATTTTTTTGGTTTTTTGTCAATGGCTTTCTGCTTTACTGATATGTAGGTGTTGTTCACTAACATCAGCTGTTCTGTATTGGCTGACTTTGGTTCCAGTTTGTGAAGCTTTGGGAAGGCTGGTGTGGAGGGAAGGACAAAAAGCATATGTGTCTCTGTACTGATGTCAAAGTGAAATGAATAAAAACACCTGAAAGGTCTGTGGCTTTTTGGAGGTCTCTTCACTTTTGTCTGGCTTTAAAGAAACTAACCATTTTCCCAGCAGCCCCCACTGTGGGAGTGAGGAGGACTCAAATGTAACCTGATAAAATGTCTAAATCAGGGGTCTCAAACTCGCGGCCCACGTCACCCCCACTTGCATCATCTAATGCAGTTTGACCCTCGAAGTGACTTTTTTGTTACGGAGGATTTGTTTGAATGCAATGTTCAAATAAGTTCTTTAAAAAACAAAAACTGATTTAATATGAAGGCAACATGAGCGCAAACATGCTGAGGGATCGGCTGTGTTAGTTCAGTGACACTTGTGTCGCGTTTTGAGTTTGTTTTGTACGACTTGAACACTAAAGGAGGCCACAGCTCATTTAATGTGAGGCCCTAAAGTAATAAGACTGGACATGAGAGCCGGCTGTCTGTTATGGTGTTTGGGTGAGGAGAGGATTATAGTTTCTAATTTTAGACCGGCCCCCACGCTACAACCATGAAGTGTTGATAGTTACACACATATTGAACATCCCCCTTCCAGCTATTGCATAACCGAATAACAGCCACATAGTTGTAAAACTTGAATGAAACGTTTGAAAATCAGCTCCTGTGTGGAGGCAAACAGTTGGAACAAGTGGAGTTTATTGAAGACAAATATTCTCCCAAGGAAAGTGACGTTCTCTGTCATATGGTTCTCACTCAGAGAACCAAGGTTACAATGTAACCGTACGAGCCAAAGAAATGCAAGTCAGCAGCTTTTCGTAAAGGAAACGATGTGCTGCGTTTGCATATATAATACAATACTGGCAGCTGGTAGATGCACCTGTGGGATGAATTTGAAAATACTCTGATTTCCTTCTGAAGTTATCGTGTTTGCAAGATTTTTAGAAAATTTGAACTCTGACCTCAACCTGAGATTTGAACTTGTCCGAGACCCACTACTGTAAAATTCAATCCTGGCATCAGTCTGGCTCTAGTGTCATGCTTCAGTGCCTTAAACTCAGTGAACAGCACAGGTGTACAGGTGGGTTCAATCTGAATCTACAGCTTATGATCCAGATCAGCATCCAGAAAAAAAAATGACTCCCCCTGTAGGACAGAAATGCTTTGTCAGAGTTCACAGACACGTTTGACTGATTTGCATTTACATAGAGTCAAATCACAACAACAGCTCGTTGGAGTGGTTTGCAGAATGAGAATCAGCACCTGAAAGTCTGAGGCCAAGAAACGATTGTTGGTATTTAAACAGCTAGAAATGAACTGTTGGGCTATAATGTGCAACACATATTGTCAACCATCTCTTATGAATAATATCCGCCAATTTTACGAGGTAGAAGCTGCAATCAGTTTGTGGTGAAACTGTCACTGACATTAAAAACGATGGTGCCCAGAGGGCAGCAGAGAAGGCAACAAATACCACAATGATTCTATGAAGACATTTAAAGTATCCAAAAGGACTGGTGTGGTTACAGTGTAGCATACACAGTTTATATAATAACACAGAGCAGATTATTTATCAGGATAAGTGAAGATATTTGATTTTTTTTGTTTTTTTTAAACCCCAGAGAAGCGCAGAGTGCTCACTCGGGGTCAAAGACCACTTTAAGAACCATCTATTGGAAAATCAAAAGTAGTTGTATTTCAACTACACCTTCATAATGATTCCAAGACATCAGCAATTGTTTTAAGCATGCAGTGAATTCCCTTTGTTCAACCACAGACATGAAAACCTAAACCTACAGCAGCAGTGCTGCTCGTCACCAACAGCTCCACGTTTTGGCGTCTGTGGCACCAAAGGACTCCACCCCAGCAGCAGCTCTCCTCTCCTCCTCAGTTCACCTCATCATCATAATCTGTGTAATGATTTACTTTTGTGTTTGACGAGGTCGGTGGTCTCGTCACGTGTCACAAACCGTGTTGACACCCTTTAGGATTAGCCGTCGTCATCAACTGACTGAGCGTGAGCAGTGATGCCTTTAGAGCCGTATTTCACTATGACAGGCGAAAGAAGCCGTTTGTACCAATCATTAGAGCGGGGGTCTCACATTAAATGAGCTGTGGGCCACTGCTGGCCCGGTCTACTCATGTGACGGCCACTTTAGTGTTCATGTAGTACAAAACAAAAACTAACAAGAAAAAACCCACAAATATTTCCAAAAATGTTTTGTTTTGTTTCCAAATATTCTATAAGAAGACAAAGCTGCAAAAGTGAACGCGATCTTTTTCCTCCCTGTCAACTAACTGAAGCCTTTGAACCACCAAATAAACATATTGGCCGTCTCTGGTCAGACGTGGCAGCACTGCTGCTGCCATTGTGTTCATATTTAACCAAATCAAACCACAGACATAAGTGTTCACATTAGTTTGTGACTCTGTCACTGAACTAACACAGCCGATCCCTCAGCATATCTCTGTCACCTTCATATTAAACCACTTTTTAAAGAACTTATTTGAACATTGCGCTCAACAACAAACAAATCCTCAAACAAAAAAGTCACTTCAGAGACAAATTGCATTCGATTTCTTCAGGTCAATGTGCAAGCAGGGGGTGACGTGGGCTACAAGTGGACCCCGGGCCACGAGTTTGAGAGCCCTGATTTAGACGATATAATTACTTCCCACTGTGTTTGAAATGATTAAAATCATTAAAATATCAGTATATTTATATTTATTGTAGGACATAAACATCTGGGTTTTGTTTATGACAAAGGGGAACTGGAGATGGGCAGTCGAGTGGAAGCTCTCGAGCGACGTCCCGACCCTGACCTGTGCTCACGGGTTTTGAGCAGCGACCAAAAGAACAACACGGCACTTATACTGAATATGTTTTACTTTATACATTCATTGAACTCTTCATGACCACACCGGAGATTATTTACTAAACGTTAATATTCACAACTCTGATAACTTTCAAATGACTGACCGTGTCTCCTGTTTGTATGATTCAATATTCAAAACTATAATTAGTGGGAGAGGTTTCAATCATAATACATCCTAATAAAGAAAAGAAACAGAGGTACAAGGTGTAAATTTGATTTGGTTGAGATTAAATGTGTTTTTCAGCCCTGAATTGAGCTGTTGAACGGCCAAGGTTACGAAAAAACTGGAAACAATGATTTGAGAATCAGAATACTTCATTCATCCCAGAGGAAAATGTAATCTGATTAAAAAACACCAGATGTCGTGCATGCTTGTACGTTGGACAGTATTAATAATAATATGATGGTGAAATGCTTCACGCCTTCATTAAATCTAAAACTATTATACAAACAATGAGCTGATTGTGAGGGAACTTGTGTGCTGGTCCAAAGCTGGACTCTTTCAGCTCATTTTTGATGCTTCTGGTGTTTCAAACCACATTTCAAGTGTCCGTTATTCGAGCTTAACTGTGCACAGATATAGAGCAGTACAGACACCCCACAGACAGACTCGTGGTAATGAGTATTTATTCAAAGACCACAGAGGAGAGAATGCATATGTTGATCATTTACAGATGAAAGGTGATGAGAACATAAAGGAGGAGGAGCTCCTCCCCCCACAAACACAGTAAACACACATCCAATCAAGTGCATCATGTCTCACTTAAATGAGTTTCACTGCAACTCACCTCATTTTAAAATATAAGTGCTGTGTCAAAACGTTATTAGAGCCATGGTTAGACCTGCTCTAATGCAAACGAATGAAATCATTTGTAGAAAGTGAGTCAGGAATGGAGCCGCTGACCACAGACGCTGCAGCGTGTAAAGGGGAAACGCAGAATATCGTCATGGTTTCACAAGTTGTTTTTGAGAGTGAAGTCATATTCTCTGCTTTAGGTGTAGAATATGTCAGAATAAACATACACTCGCTGACCACTTCATTTGGTACACCTGTTTGACTGCTCATTTACAGCCAATCACAAGACTTTTCCCTCCACGACCGTGTCTACGTTTACAGAGAACGGTCTGAAAAAGGAGAAAACACAGGACACGTTAGCAGCAGCAGCAGCAGCAGACTAGACCAGGGGCTGCTCAGCAAGTACAGCAGGCTACAGTTCACTCGGACTCACCAAAACCGGACGACAGAAGTTTGCCAAAACACCCTGATGAGTCATTTCTACTACAATATTCAGATGATAGTGTCCGAATTTCAACACATGGACCCGCCGTGGCCTGCAGCAGTGGTCCAGGCTCTGTGTGCCGGTGTTAAAGTGTGGGCGTTCTCTTCCCTAAGTACCAACTGAGCATTGTTTACACACCACAGCCTTCCTGGGTACTGCTGCTGACCTGGTTTAATCGTCTTCTGATGGTGCAGGTTATCACACCGTGCCACAAAGCTCAAATCACCTCAGACTGCTTTCTTGACTTCATTCCACAGCGTCCACTGTGGGGCAGCAGTCGAATCTGCAAACCGTGCAAATCTCTGAAGACTGTTTGCAGCGGCTGGATGATGTAAGAGTGCAACCCAGCACTAGCAGAGTGTACCTAATAAACTGATCATATATGTTCTTTTGCTCACAATTGTAAAATTCTATGACATCCTAATGTGACTTTTTCTTAAAACATGACTTTTCCCCCTTAAAATCCAACTTTTTGTGAAAGCACAACTTCTTAAAAATACAATAAAAAAGTAACATTTTTAGACTTCTGTTTTCAGTGGCCCAGGTTCTCATATTTCTCCCACCTGTACAACCAATCCTGACTCTTCCATCAGTACATCGACAGCCTACAAGGTGAGAACGATTATGTGAAAGGGCTGTCGATGAAAACAAAATCCCTGAGGTACAATTTCCAGGTGAAGAACTGGTTATGGCAGACTTTTCTTTTCCAAATAATTAATCTTCAGTTTTCTTCGTTGCATAAACTTTGTACAGTGAACGAAAAATATGAAGCGGTACCAGAGCTGAAGCGAGGGATTCAAAGTGAAGGCAGAAGTTCAACGAGCTTCGCTCCAAGTGTTGAAAAATGACGCTGTTTGGAATAAGGTAGAAAAACTGGATATAATTACAAACAGAGACTGTAGAAACCAGGCTGCATCAAAGTGCTCATATAAAGAAATAATCATTCATATTTACATATTTTTGTACAGCTTTTAGCTAACAAAATGATTCAGGCTGATGTTGATGCCAAATGCTGAGGATAAGTGAGAAGAGGGCCTCCTCTTCCTCCTCTGTAAACAAGAGATTAAATAGACTGGAGTGATGTGAACCCAGTGACTGCACGCTGCCATTCATTGTCTTCAGCAATAACACCAAACATAGTTTAATTCTATTGGATGCACACAAGGACATTTGGGGTTTAGTACATTTTAGGGGACAAAGTGCTGAGTTGTCTTAAATTTGACTCAGTTTTCTTGTTCGCCTCACTGAGCACTCTGTTTCTTACTTCCTGAGAGAAGACTCAGGCCCCCACAATGCCACATTTCCAGGAGTTCACTGTGCCATAAGTGCTAAAGTCCAGATACTCGTTGGGTATCAAAGGAACAAACATTTTGACTTGCAGCAGGGAAACCAATGGCTCATTTCCACTCACTCAGTCAGCAACTTGCTCACCCCTTTTGTCTGTTAGCGAGCACTGCCGAGCATCATGAAACTTTGTGGCGAGATCAAGCGTAGGATCGATAAGTTATTATATTTTATTGCATAACTGAATGCCTTTCTTTAGAAATGCAAAATAGGGCATCGGTACTAGAAGTCCTCTCCGAGCTTGCCTGACCTTTTCCTCCTCTGACAAACCAAACATGTCTGCTGTGAACGAGTATCCGTGTTTAAATCTTCCACATTTACATTGATTCAGACCAGAAAGTTACTTCTGTTTTTCCTGAACCAGCCCGCATGAGACGCACAACATGAACTGCTAATTCTGTCTGCGCGCTAGCTAGCCCAGGAAGAGGGTGGCCCTGGTGACCTCAAAGTGGAATTTGAGGAGTTTGTTGCCATTTTGGGATGTTTACACTGGAAATCTTTGTTGTGTTTACACTAAAATCAAAGCATTCAGCATTCAGTAAAGCTTTCCTTTTTGGAGGACAGGAATCAGAACATCAAACGTAACAGTGCCGCTACGTTAGCTGGTAGGAAACTGCTACCTGCCAGTTAGCAAGCTAAATAATTAGGCAAAAGGTTATCAAAGACATAACTGTCCCATTACTTTCAGTTCTTTTGTGGGGCATTTTATTCTCCAGAGGAGCAGTTGCAGCTGAAAGCTGCAGGTGCAACACGGCTAATATCTTGCCTTGGTCAAACTTCACAAAGTATTAAGTCCATGCATTGATATGATTCTGACATAAACATAACTAGTAGGCTTGGCTGTTAAATGTCGGCATCATAAATGCTGCTCTGTATGCGCCTGTACCTGGGGACCCCATCTACTTTGAACAAAACTGGCTTATTAGCACATTAGCAGCTAGTTTGGTACGCCCAAAAAGGCTAAGGAGCAGATTAAATTCACATGCAGCTAGCTGCTAGCAGCTAGCTAGAAGCAAAGCAGAAATGTTTTGTTGTTGGCTGCCAAAGAGAACACTGCATCAATTCTTGGGATGTGAAAAGCGAATGTCCCCCCAACAAAAAGAAGATCCATCTATGTTCAATGTTAGCCACATTAGCAGTGAATGTGACTGGACCGATAGCATGAGCCCCATCTCATTTTTCTATAAATTACTTTTTAAAAGTATCTTAGCGTTACTCTACAGTTTGTGTCCGCAGATTCAGAGATATTATCCGATTGCGCCAGAGGACCACCCACTTGGGTTCATGTTGATTTATATTTAAAGTACCAACAGATACAAAGCTAGGAAATAAATACATAAGCAAAACATACATTTTGTACATCTAAAGCAATAATTTCCCCAAATCTTGTGAGGTCCTCAGGTAAAACAGGCGATGTGCAAAAAAGCTTTAGTTTCAAATGAGTGGCTGCACTTTGATTTTGTTTTAGGCTGCGCGATATTTGTATTGTTGTCGATTCCCATGTGACACCCGTTATTGTCCTTTAGCCACAGCAGTACTCCCAGATGCCGACTTAAAGGGAAATTGCAGTCTTTTACAAATTACAAATACCTGAATTTCCCTTCAAGAGAACAAGGAGGGCTGTTTCTGAAGTCATGTAAGGAGCAACAGACAGAAGCCCTTCTTAAGTGTCCAAGTGTGCTGAAGTGGGGGCCAGCTCAGTATGTCCGTGGTCCCGGGGTGAAAAGCAGTCGTCAGAATGGATGAAATGCAGGGCAGTCTGGTTGTAGCTCTGCAGGGCCTGCTGCTTTTCCACTGCGCTGAAATACAGCGAGTGAGGGTGGACCTGCTGAACATGCCTTTTAATAGTGCTGACCTTCAGTGTGGCCAGAGTGGCTCCACACACCATGCAGATCAGCCCGTGCCTCCTACAGTCGTAATCCATCAAGTAATCCGTCCGCCAGCGCACCTGGTAGTTCCTCCTCTGGTCCTTGCCGGGGTAATGACCATGACGAGAAGGTGTGTTTGCAGCGCTGCTATCCTTTGATTTGCCCTTGGCTTCGCCCACAGCTTCCTCCTTTATCACCAGTTTGCTGGGTATTTTGACATCAGGGGAGGCGTCTTCATTTGTCTCTCCTGCGGTACTGAGGACATCAACTTCACTGGGGTTGATTTCTGTGGGAAAAAATAAGGGGGAGGGGATGCCAGATTCTTGCCTAGTTCCACCACAAAATCAAGTCACACGCTAGTGTCTTTGCTTGTTGCACCTGATAGCACTTTTCCAGCCTTTCTAACCACCCACAGTGCTGACTCAAGTGGCGTCTTCACGGTAAGTTGCAAACAAGCTATGTTAATACACGCTATGCGATTAGCACTCCCGCCTGGTTTGACCGAGCCAGGACCCCATAAGTTCTCCCTGTGCCTGCATGTGAATCACATTAATTTATACACTTTAAACTGAATGAATGTATGGTTAAACTGTGACTTGTAGTCTAAAGTGCTTTGAGTGGTCAGTAAGGTAGAAATAGTTAATAAGCAAGCAAACTATCATCTTCATTTTTCAATAAAACCCAAACAGAACAATGTTCCTGACAAAGCGCGCGCTGTTTAACTGATTTATCTGCTACATTAGCTAACTTACTCGCTACACTACCATTCTTGTGGAATCTTTTACTGACTGTATCAGCTGTGAAATGTCAGTTTCGGCTGGACTCTATAGAGAATTGCAAATGCTGAGATTTACGTATTTTTCGGATTATAAAGCGCACCAGATTATAAGGCACACTAAGCGAAACAAAACAGTTAGATAAGTCAAACTTTACTCAACTCATTCTTCTTGCTTTCATATCATTGATTCATTAATGTGAATTCTCTTGCAGCTGCTCTATTCCCATGTTGTTGCAGTATATTAATGACTAACCTCGTATTGTGGATGGATTATTACGGAGCCCCCCAGGGGACATGGGAGAAAAAAAAATTAGGGAGAAAAAAAAAAATTAGGGAGGAAAAAAAAAATTAAGACGGACTTTTGAGATCTCGCAAAAGTATTGCGAGATCTCGCAAAAGTATTGCGAGATCTCGCAAAAGTTTTAGCCGCATTCTTCGGAGGCCGCCAGCTCGAAGCCGACCGGGAGGTCGAGGCACGATGTGCCGGGAAAGCGGTGTTCCTCCCGGCTGTAGTAGGTCTCGACTTCCCGTTAGCTTCGAGCTAGTGGCCGCCAGCTCGAAGCCGACCGGGAGGTCGAGGCACGATGTGCCGGGAAAGCGGTGTTCCTCCCGGCTGTAGTAGGTCTCGACCTCCCGTTAGCTTCGAGCTAGTGGGTGTCAGATCTCCAAAAACTCGGAGCTCTTTTGCAAATATGTGATGTCTTGTAAACCGAGCAGGTATCTGACGTTTACACAACTACATTCACGCCTCAAAATATCTTAAAAGTGTATTTTGTGACCCAGAAAGAGTAATATTACAACTAAGTAGCTGCCGCCATTGTTGGAGTTTTGCGAGATCTCGCAATACTTTTGCGAGCGCTCGCAATACTTTTGCGAGATCTCGCAATACTTTTGCGAGATCTCGCAAAAGTCCTCTTAATTTTTTTTTTCTCCCTAATTTTTTTTTTTTTTTTTCCTCCGTAATTTTTTTTCTCCCATATCCCCTGGGGGGCTCCGTAGATTATCTCAGTTGTTCTCCTGCTGAAGTTTGGTGCGTTTACAGCATCCTGCCATGCGATTGCATTTGTCCCTAACCTCACATTAACTTTTATCGAGTGGAAAAGTGTTAGCGTTCATCCTCCAGCTTCACTGTGTTTATCTTATGGTAGCATAGCTGTGTCGCTAGCGTATCACGTAGCACATCATTATATACCAGCTAGCCCAACTTCAGTAACCCTACAAACGTCACTGCTGTTTAGTTTTCTGTCTTCATTTATGTTGGAAGTGATAGCAGAGCTGTACGTTTTAATTTTTCAGAAATCTCTCAGTCAGAACATGCTATATATCTTTGATTCTAACTCCACTGTAAATTTAATAAATCTGTTTTCATGGATGCCTGGATGTTAAACTTAATTGTTACACCTGGTAAAGCAGCAACGCTGATCATTTTATTAAAGATGAAAGAATTTAGACAGTTTTTAACTCTCAGTGATGCTGCAGTGTTCGTTTGACTTTGGGACCTGAAGTACAGAGTTTGGACCCAGATTCTCCGGAGGCTCTGTACTACAAGTCGTACTAAAACATTTTTGACAGATTTTTGAGCACCGTGTACCACATAAAATCGGTTCGAGGTCAGTGAAGCACAACAGAAATCATACATAAGGCGCACTGTCGATATTTGAGAAAATTAAAGGAGTGCGCTTAAAGTGCGCCTTATAGTGCGGAAAATACGGTATATGTACAAATGTCTGTTTTCTCAGGCTAAGTGAGGATGCTAAAAAGACCAGCCAAACACAAACAACTCTTAACACAGCAGTCAGGTGCTTTTGAGCCTCTGTGAGTGGGAATGTGTTGTGTTCCACTGACTGTGGATGTCAGCAGCAGCTGACAAAGCTGACTTATAAAACATGAAAAGTACAAAACCCCCAAACTTTCTAAAAAAGGCCTAATATTGTTGAAAAATACCACTAACAAGTTTACAGCTTTACAGAGACGTGTATCAGTGCTGAAAGCTTCTCACCATCTTGGATCTGCATGCCTTCACTGGGGTAATCTTTGGTCCAGGCTGCAGCCATGGCTTCCCTTTCCTGTCGGCTCAGGGTTGTGGTCTCCGGGTGACATTCCTGGATGTGGCGGCGGAAGCTGCTAACCTTGGTTTCATGCAGGACCTGAGAACACACCATACAGAACATGCCCTGGCCTTGAGGCCCGTAGGCCACCAGATAGTCCAGACGCAGCCGCCACGGGTCGCCCCCGTGTAGCCTCCTCTTCTTAGGCTGCCGGAAGGGCTGCAGACCCTGCTGGGGAACTCCGACACCGCCGTCCTCACCAATAAGACAAGTGTCCTGAGTGAAAGTGCCGTCGCCCTCCGTGTACACGTCAGTGTTGATCTGGATGGTTTCCACGTCCTCAGAGAAGAGCCCCACAGTGCCATCTTTGGTGTTGGTCTCTGATTTGTTTGAGTGCTCCGCTTCTTCTGCTACAGGGCACAGAAACATACATTTCTAATATTAATCCGTTTGTTTCAGGCCCACTGTGGCTACATCAGTCTGTTCAAATGACAGCTGTGAGTCATTCAGACATTCAGAACACCCCAATTTTCCAGTTTTTTTAACAGCAAATTGTGCAGTTTAATGTCTCATTGCACTGAAATCAAAGCATAGCACAAATAAGTAATTGGAGTTAAAAAAGAAATCATTGAATCATCTTATAGACCAAAATGTTTTCTAAACCTTTGACTCATCAAAGTTCCCTCTTTTGGCAGATATAACAGCTGAACACAGTCGTGGCTTCTGTCTTCAACAGAAATCAAATCTTCTCCCATATCTGTAGCAGAAGTTCCCATAAATGTGGACCTTGTAGGCTGCTTTGCTTTCACTCTTCTGTCCAGTTCATCCCAAACCAGCTCGATGGGGTTAAGTCTGGAGGCTGTGCTGTGTTTTCAAGCTCACCATCTTGTTCTTTGTTCCTTTTTTTTTTTTTTTTTTAATAGCCTACGTCTATTGCAGCATAACTAAGGGAGGATTCAGGGTCACCTGGTCCAGCCCTAACTATATGCTTTAGCAAAAAGGAAAGTTTGAAGCCTAATCTTGAAAGTAGAGATAGTGTCTGTCTCCTGAATCCAAACTGGAAGCTGGTTCCACAGAAGAGGGGCCTGAAAACTGAAGGCTCTGCCTCCCATTCTACTTTTAAATACTCTAGGAACAACAAGTAGGCCTGCAGAGCGAGAGCGAAGGCTCTAATAGGGTGATATGGTACTACAAGGTCATTAAGATAAGATGGGGCCTGATTATTTAAGACCTTGTATGTGAGGAGCAGGATTTTGAATTCAATTCTGGATTTAACAGGAAGCCAATGAAGGGAAGCCAAAACAGGAGAAATTGCTCTCTCTTTCTAGTCCCTGTCAGACTCTTGCTGCAGCATTTTGGATTAGCTGAAGGCTTTTCAGGGAGTTTTTTGGACATCCTGATAATAATGAATTACAGTGTCCAGCCTGGAAGTAATAAATGCATGAACTAGTTTTTCAGCGTCACTCTGAGACAGGATATTTCTAATTTAGAGATGTTGCCAAATGGAAGAAAGCAGTCTTACATATTTGTTTAATATGTGCTTGAAGGACATGTCCTGGTCAAAAATGACTCCAAGGTTCCTCACAGTGTTACTGGAGGCCAAGGTAATGCCATCCAGAGTAAGAATCTGTTAGATACCATATTTCTAAGATTTTCAGGGCCGAGTACAATAACCTCAGTTTGATCTGAATTAAGAAGCAGAAAGTTAGCGGCCATCCAGGTCTTTATGTCTTTAAGACATTCCTGCAGTTTAACTAATTGGTGTGTGTTATCTGGCTTCATGGACAGATAGAGCTGGGTGTCATCTGCATAGCAGTGAAAATGTATGCTATGTCTTCTAATGATACTGCCTAAGGGAAGCATGTATAATGTAAACAGAATTGGTCCTAGCACTGAACCCTGTGGAACTCCATAATTAACCTCAGTGTGTGAAGAGGACTCTCCATTTACATGCACAAACTGGAGTCTATTAGATAGATATGATACAAACCACTGCAGTGCAGTACCTGTAATACCTACAGCATGTTCTAATCGCTCTAATAGGATATTATGGTCGACAGTATCGAAGCTGCACTAGGTCTAGCAGGACAAGCACAGAGATGAGTCCACTGTCAGAGGCCATAAGAAGATCATTTGTAACCTTCACTAAAGCTGTTTCTGTGCTGTGATGAGCTCTGAAACCTGACTGAAACTCTTCAAATAAACCATTCCTCTGCAGATGATCTGTTAGCTGTTTGACAACTACTCTTTCTTTTCTTTTTTTCTTGTTCTTTGTTCCTAAGGTAGTTCTGGCATGTTTGACAGTTGATGCCACACACTGTGGAGCTTTCACCCACTCAACAATGTACAAAGCTCCTGCGTGACGAACCGAAGATTTCAAGCTTTGATTATTTAGTCCATAATACCTCTTTGTCTTATTCTGACGTCTGGCGTTCTACCTGCAGCTCGAAGTCTTCTCTTCACAGTTCAAGCTGAGACTTGCTCACTATAACCACTGTTATGCTTGAAAGCAGCTTCTGCACTGCTGCAGAGCAGCTTTAAACTGTTAGCCCATGTTGTCCCTGAAAAAGGCCTTTTTGTACCAGTCTGAAATGTACATTATTTTACTGGTTTTGGTAACGTTACCTTTTTTAACCTCTGGCAGTTCAACACTTTGTACCATTTCAAGCTGTTCACTGGACCTGAATGACTTGAATTGCAATAACTGGAATAATTAGTGTAGGTCACATCCCCACAGCTTCATTCAGAGAGGAAGGACAGAGAGCCACACAGTGTCACGGTCTGTGAGAAATCAAGTGACATATCGTGCCATCATCTTTAGAGAGGTCACGTCCGATGTGTCGTTGTTGTGCATGAGATAGATATAAGGCCAGAAAAGGTGGAGAGCTGGGTCTCTGACTCTGGCCTCCATCAGCACCATCGCTGCACTTTTATCATTAGTTTGGATGGGAGTTATTCCTGTTTCAGTTTAAATTGTTTAGTTTCTTGATAGTAGTGTGACATTTGACAGGTTAAAGTGTCCATACTGATGCTGCTGTGAGAAGTAACTGATGAAGTCACTGCTGCTCTTCCTCCTGCACATTTAAATGCATCTCTCTCACTGTAGAGAAACATCCATTCACTCTCACAGATCCAGCTGCTCTGTGAGAACGACTGAAGCAACAAACAGACTCCGGTTCCTGTTAACCTCTCATCAAAACTCTGACAGCAGCTGTTGTTAATGTGACCTGTCACAGCCTCCATCACAGTAAAGAGTTCAGCAGGTAACAGGTGTGTCAGGTTAAGTTACATGAATGTCTACATAAAAGTGTAGATGGTGCCAGACTAAATCATGTCTAACATGTTGGCCTTTTGTCTTTGTCACTGTCTCATCGAACTTCTGTTCAATGATCACCTCAGACTACTGACAGGGGTCAAAGGTGAATTTGGAAGGAAGATCTGGTTTGAGAATATTCATCAAACAATCGTTTCTGTTGCTGATCCCAGTTGTGTTCAGGCTGACTCGGACATTCGTGGTCTCTGTGGATGTCACCAAAGCTATCATGACTGATTTTGAGCTCCTGGATCAGGGGTGTCCAACTCCAGGACTCGAGGGCCGGTGTCCTGCAGGTTTTAGATCTCACCTTGGGTCAACACACCTGAATCACATGATTGGTTCATTACCAGGTCTCTGGAGAACTTCAAGACATGTTGAGGAGGTCATTTAGCCATTTAAATCATCTGTGTTTAATCAAGGACACACATAAAACCTGCAGGACACTGGCCCCCGAGGCCTGGAGTTGGACACCCCTGTCTTAGACAGTATAGGACCTTATGAAAGGTGGAACCTGGTGTTTGAATCCAACCACCATGATAATCTCTGGTAACCTTTTACTGACCATGACGATCCCAGCCTGCTCTGCACCAGCACAACCATCTGACTCAAACAAGTTAGGCTTGAATCTGAAAATTACATATAAAATGTCAAATTTCCAGTTTGTGTCCATCTCTCTCCACCAACACTAAAAAATGAGTCATCTTACCCTCCCCACCTCTCTTTCTAATGTCAGTGCTGTGGAGTCTGAAGATGAACTGAGCTGGGGTATTGCTGATTCACACGCTCTGAGAGCCAAACACATTACAGGGTTTATCCACTGCTAAATACAGTGAACACTGTACACTTAGCTAACAGACACACTGGATCCAAACTGCAGCTTTATGGATGTGAACCATGAACACATCACAGCACAGAGACGGAAAAGAGAAGATGGTGAACGTGTAAAAGGACCACAGGGTGACATTACGATCTTATGTTAATCTGTGGCTACAGTACCTCCTACTGGTTTCACTTGCACAAACCATTTCCTTAATACCAACACTGCGTTTTGCTGGTGGGCGTGTGAGGTGTCGCACTTCTTACCGTGAGTCTGAGTCCAGGCCTGAAGGATGCAGTGTTTCTCCTCAGAGCTGTACACCAGTGAGTTAGGGTGGGTGTCCAGCAGGTGGCTCTTTATGTGGTCCAGGTGAAGCGAGGGCAGCACCGCTCCACACACCATGCACAGCAGCCGACCGGCATGAGACTCGTACTCCATCAAGAACTCCTGACGGAACCAGGCATGCAGCGAGTCGTTCAGATAGCGTTCCAAGATCTGCGCTGACGGCTCGGGCAGGTACTGCTCCTCTTCTTTAGGCTGCGGGGCTTCGCCCTCCACAGAGCAGGGAGTCAGGCTGATGGGCTGCTGCGTTTGCTCCTGGGCTGTCACAGGGTCTGCAGTTTCTGCTTATAGTAGAGACAAAACAGCATGACAACAAATCAACATTTTAGCTTCATGGCACTGTACTAGCTTTGCTTCCAGCAGACAGGTAACGTCAGGTGTTTACATCTTCATTCCAATTTGTGTGATTACACCATGGTTATTATAGATGTCTTCAATCAGCCAGGACAAATTGCCTTTTTGTCCTAAAAACAATGAAAATGTGCAAGATAGCAACAAAGACACCGCTAACTAAAAGAAACTTGTTTTTTTTAACTCTTTTTCTGAATCTGGGAGTTTTACATTTGGGAAACTTCCCTAGCATCACAATGTTAAATCCATTGTTTTTACATAAAGTAATATCTGCCACAATCTGCACTTTTCTGCCACCTACTGTGGACACACGGGGCGGCTGCAGCTCAGGAGGTGGAGGAGGTCATCTGCTAATCAGAAGGTCGGTCGTTCCATCCCTGGTCTCCATGCCAAATATACTTTGGCACTAACCCAGAGTTGTGTGTGAATGTGTGTGAGTGTGAGATAAAAGGCACTAATGTAGAAAAAGTGCTTGTGCGAGTGGGTGAAAACTGCATGCTGTATGAAGTGCTTGATCCCAGCTTTCACTTTGTCCACCATGCACGTCACAGGCTCAGTGCTTCAGCTTCTCCTGTTTGCTTTTCCAAGCATTATGGGATAGCAGCTCCATTTTCACTGGTGTGTGTGAGTGATTATTCATGTTATTTTTGTCAGGCAAGAACGAGTGCTACCTCTCTGTAATATTAAATAAGCAACATGGACTACCTTCAAACAGTCCAATCCAATCAAACATTACATCATCGGTTCCTCCTCACACCATGATATGAGTTCATACTGAGTGTGAGAAAATCGTCTGCTTAAACCAACCCACCTCCAGTCTGGTGACCTGAGTGCCTAGTGTCCTCTTCGCCCTGGAGTGAGGGTGCCGAAGCAGGGCTGTATAACTTCTGCCCTCCCCCCAAACTCAGGTGGCTCTCCCACCCCGAGCGGATCACCTCTTTGTCAGCAGCGCTCCACAGCAGGGAGTCTGGGTGCTTCTGTCTGATGTGCCTCTTGATAGTGCTGAGCTTCAGAGTGGCCAATGAACTACCGCACACCATGCAGATCATGCCGTGCCTCTGGGGGTCAAAGTCCATCAGGTACTCGCTGCGCCAGTACTCGTGGTAGTACCGGCGGTGGTCACGGCCTGGAATCCGGCTCAGGCCTGGACGCGAGGCTCTCTGCACCCTGGGTTTGGCTCCAGAGGGCCCCGGGGCCAGGGAGAGGAGGAGGGGGTGATCTGGGCTCTCTGTGATGCTCCAGTAGCTGGTGCTTGGTGACCTGACAGGCGTGGCCACACCGCTCTCTGATTCCACCTCTCCATGGCCATTGGCAAGACCGTCTTCTTCAGACAAGAACGAGACAGAGTACAGATCAGAGCAGCAGGTTTCAAACTGAGGCAGTGTCTTCATGTTGCTAAAGCAGAGATCTCAGACTTAAGCTGTGGGCCACTGCTGCCACTGTCATCTCATGTGAGGCCACAAAACAAGCACAAAACAAGAAAACACCCACAAATATTTCAAAAAATGTCGTATTTGTTTGTTTTTTGAAATTTAAAATATTGTATAACAAGACAAAACTTGACATAAACGCAATTTTGTTCGTATTTAACAAAATCAAAGTGACACATCAGCCAATCCGACATGCTCTCTGCTCATGTGGCCTTCATATTAAATCAGTTTTTGCTTTTTAAAGAACGTATTTGAACATTGCACTTAGCAACAAACAAATCCTCCCTAACAAAAAAGTCACTTCGAGGGCCAAATTGCCTTCGATTTCTTCACGTCCATGTAGAAGTAGGGGTGATGTGGGCCGCAAGTGGCTAACGCATGAAAAATACAGTTCAGTTTACAGATGAGCATCATCTGTACAAGCAGAGGTGTTTGGCAGGCTGCTGATTCAGGTGTGTGTTAACACAATGCTACAATCTTTGCAGGATGTCCCAGTAAATTCAGCTCAGGTTCAGATCATGCAGCCCTTCGGGCCTCAGTTAGCAGGAGAGAGGCTCGTCTTGCGTAAAGAACGTGGTGCCATTGGGTTTGTAAAGCTGCATCTGAACAAACCAAGACTTCTGAAATAATGTTGATTAGTCAGATAAGATCAAAGTGGAGATGTTTCCCCATAATGTGAAGAACAAACCAAACACAGCAGCGCAGCAAAAAGACTTCACACCAGCTGTCAGTGCGGGGTGTGGCTGATCACTTGTGCTTGTTCTGCAGCTACCTGAGCATCTTACAGTGTGTACAGCTCCTGTGTACCAAAGCATCGTGAGGCCACCTATCTGATACCCATGGTATCAATTTGAAGCTCCCACACCACTTTGTTCTTGAGTTACTGCACGCACAAACTTGGGTGTCTACATGGCCCGCCTGCCCGTCAGAGTGAATACCCCGTCAAATTGTTGAAGCTGCTGCTAAATTTAATTTCAATTTTGATTTATATTCAAAATTAAATTGAGAAGCACACTTCTCTATTCCTCAAGTCAACTAATATAGCACCAACTCACAACACCAGCCGTCTCAGTCCTCAGGCATCATCCTCTCATTCTCCAAGATTGTGTTAAATCATCTGGTCAAAAATCTTCTTTTAGACTTCTTCACCTCCCACCATTCAATCCTTGGCTCTACGTTCACTGGCTTCCTCCTCTTCATTTTTTCCCTTGCATTGCCTTTTAGTGTCTCACTGGATTTTTGCCGATTGTTAAGCACTTTGATCAACCCTGTTGTTTTAAAATGTGCTCTATAAATAAATAAACCTTAAAGTCATCCTATAGACTAGCATATGATGCTGCCTAGTTACGTTCTCCCATAGCACGACTTTGCAGTCTCTCTTTCAGACTGGACACTCAATAATAATCACACGTCCAACTATTTGTTGATCAGTAGTTGACTCCATGCGTTGCACTGGCTCACTCAAAAACAAATCCCTGTGGCTGACAGAGACCAATAAAAACTATATACACCTGAACATCAGCAGGCTTGGAGCAAAACACTCTAGTTCCCAGTTATATGAAGTTATGAAGGTAAAGGCTGTCCACACAGGTCTATTTCTATCTCACTGCGGATGGGTAACATTTAAATAGTGTGCTTAAATGATCCAACTTTTACAAAAACCCAAACGAGTACATGAGAGAAAGCAGCAGAGATATCATGTTAGGTCTAACATTGGTAGGCATGTCTTTCAGGCTAGCCTTTCAGTTCCTCGCAGCTTGAGCTTTAAACTTCCAGAGAAAGTCACGCTGCTGTCATTTGGTAATCAAGCACAACTTGCTTACGGACATTCCTGCGGTCAGCTCGCACCTCACGTGAAAGGATAACCCTGCCTTTTTATCTGATCAGCGTTTATTCCGCTCGATGACAGGTCTGAGACGGCCTGTACCTCCGCTGTCCACTAGGTGTCAGCAGTGTGCGCTTCGCCTGGCTGCCTGCGTGCAGTTGAGCCTTTGTTTATAGGAGCCACAGAGACGGAGGGGCCATGCTGCTCCATGGCTTTGTCCCTGACACGGATTAACTGGCTGCCTGATAATGGCTGTATATCTGACAGCCACGCAGACCCACTTAGCGTTGGAACAAAAACAAGAAAATTAACACTAGATGTGTTTTTTTGCTCTTTACCTACTAACTCGCTCTCCTCCTGCGTGGTTTCCTCCTGCCCGCTTGTCATTAATGAGAGCAGCTCCGGCTGATAGGCACAGCGGAGCTTCACGGGCTGCCCCTGCCCCGCTCCTTTCTCTTCCATCACTGGATCGCTGCTCTCGCTTTAGTCGTGGTTGGCGGTGCTTCGTTCAGTGGGTCGTGTCGCCGTCGTGGGGCATGTCACCCTGACAACAACAACACGTTCTCGCCGCTCCGCAGCGTTCGACACGCATCTGCCAGGCGCTCTATAACGAGCCCACCGCCGAGGAGCCCGTGCTCTCCGCGGTCCCCCCACGCGCCCCGCACGGGAGCCAAGTTAACTTTTCATGCAAGCACACAATCATAAATCCACCGGCGAAAAGGGCCGCTGCTCCGCGGTGCTCGGTGGAGGCGCCTCGGCTCAGGCCTCTACTCATGAATTTTTAGGCTCTTGCTTGTCTTCAGGGTGGGGAGCCGGACTAGGGGCCCCTGGGGCTCCTTAAGGGGCTCCTGGGTAAATTTAAAGAGACAGTAGCAGCTACGACGATGCACACCCACCCCGGGGGGGCAGAGGGAGCAGCAGGCGCTAATACCGGTAAGCTGCTGCTGCTGTTGTCCCACAGCCGCGACATGAAGGCAGAGCGCCGGTTAACCACGAGGCGGTGTGTCGGGGCCCCTCAGCAACTCCTGCTTTGTACCGGGGCAGCACGCGCTGTTTTCATGTGTCACACACATCTGTGCAGATGTTCGGCGGCGCAGAGACCGAAACGCACATGTGTTCATGACTTCCTTCTCGATTAGTAAACTTGTCTGAGTTGACATAGTCGGACTGAAACCTCTGATACACTAACTTTGATGGCCTCAGTCGTAAACAGTCTTAAACTCATGTTAATGCTATTAAAATGAAAAATGTTTCAGAACTCACACCTTTGGATCGCAAAGATTTACACACGTTTAATTCATGTATCGAGTCCCTAGCTATAGTCTTGCTGTGACGTCAATGTAGTTTTTTCAAACCGGATCCACGTTAAAGGAACCGGGCCGTGGCCCCCAGCGCCCTAACGTTGTTTGTCCGTCAGCCCCTCCCTCATGCTCATTTGGTCGTTGTGTAGAAAAGTGGATCCCTGCTTGAAGCGTGTGCAGATGAATTCGGGTCATGTGTAGAAAAAGACAATAAATCAATGGACCTTTGTGCAGCTATTCCAGTAGGGAACAGCTGTGCGGGGCCTCCGTGTCCCGGCACCACTCGGCTCTCTTTGGAAGAGACAGACAGACAGACAGGGGGACTCGTGACAGGTTTGTAAAATCCTTTTAATGCGACCCAGTGAATGGATGTGGCGTGGAAAGGAGGGGGCGTTGCACACTACTGTCTCTATGTACACAGACACACACACACACAGCGAGCATCCCACATCCTGGTACTTTTCAGCGTTGTCAAGGCAGCCTGAGCACGACTGGCGGAAAGTAGCTGCAGTGTCCTGGCAGAATATCTGTGCAAAACCGCCCCCAAAGTGTCCCGGAAAGTTAAGTGCCGCTAAAAGGTAACGGACGTGCATGTTTTCTGTCGCTCGTGCTTCCGGGCGCGCGGCTTTGCGGCTCGAATCTGCGCCTGTCCTCGCGGCTTTCACGCGCAGACAGGCGCCAGTCCGCGAGGACCAGAGCAGGAAAATGTTGTCCATTGTGCCGCTGAGAGACACAACGATCCAGGCACCATTTCCGCTCTAGTGCGGCCGCTTTTCCACGGCCGCCCTGCGTGTTTTGCTGTAGGTTGTTCGGCTGAGTGGCCTGGTGGCGTTTGACTGAAACACACTGAGAATAAAGAAAAATGGCAGATAGACTTTGTGATAGAGAGAGACAGCTTTAAAGGGACAGCGACTCGCTGTTTTCTTCCTGCTTTCTGGAGCCGAAGCACTCCCACACACGACGACAATTTCATTTATTTCATAGTTATCTCTCAATCTTACACTGAAACTCGTGTTTCACGCGGGATTCTGCACAGATGTTGTGACAGATGAGGTGGGCGTCGTGCACGTATTTATTGTCTCCTGACTGGTGCACGAAATCCTGCTGGAGTGAGTGCTACAGATCTTAGAGTACGTCAGTGCTCCACTGAGACCACCTCACTCCGTGTACTCCGTGTACTTTCGTTTCATCATGAGGCACACACATGTGAGTTAAACAGATAAAATGACTTTGGTTGAACTTATTTGGTGGAAATAAAAAACGTATAAATTGTTACATTTTTGTAAATAACTATTTGACTCTTCAGTCCTCGCTAATATTATCATTACTTTGTGCAATTGAAGGGGATTATTGTGTTTTATATACAGCACTTGTTAATGTTGTTGTGCTTGTTGTTGCATTACTGATCAGTGAGCATGTTGTAATTCCCATGGCTCCAATCACTGCTACGAGCAGAGATCCTGAAGCAGGACCTCAGTGTGCAGCACTGCTGTTTATTTCCAAGCCTAACTATGGCCACCGCACCTGCCTGCTTATATACTCTTTAAAACGACAATTGCAAACCTCAGTTTGAAATGTAGAGCAACAGTAGGTGCTGCACATTGTGTTTTAAAAAGTGGAAAAATATTGTGTTGATGCATGCTCGATCATCCAGGTAAGGAAATCCCATAAAGGTCTTCATTCTGTTCATCGGAAACGTTTCGTCACTCATCCAAGTGACTTCAACTTGTGTTCGTTTTGCTGTTGCTTAATGTTTATTACAAAGTATTACCTAGTCTTTAGCTTATTTTCATCACATTTTAATGCAAAGGCTGTTTTCTGTTCCTCAGGATATCTGCACACCACTGTGATGTCGGCGAGCATAAGAGGTGCTCAGAAACATGATGATGCTGATAATGACAGTTAGGATCCTGGACTGAGGGGCTACCAAGGCCAATCACTGCTGTTGGATGAGAACCGATGGGCTGTCTAGCCTGGCAACAGGATGCCAACTGCAAAAGGTAAAGGTGGCTCAACGTCCCACCGTTACCGGCCGGCCTCGGAGTACGATGATGCCACGCTCGCCCTAAAGCGAGAGTACTGGAGAAACAAGAAGCGAGAGCAGCGGGCCCGTGTGTCAGAGGAGAGGGAAAGGCACAAACGCAGCAGCAGCAGCCAGGGAGGGAAGCAGCTAAATGCCCCTGCAGAAGAGGCTTCCACTCTGGCCCAGTCATCAGGTGCTTCGTCAGCTCCTCTGCAGAGTAATGATAATTCATACAATTCTGTGTCAAAGCACGGAAATGCTCTGGGGGAGGGGTCACGTGAAACCACTGACAGCCAAAAGGAGAAGTGGCTCCAGACAGTAAAGCTCAACAAGCGTCTGCCTCAGTTGCCAGCGTCGTGTTCTATCTCTGCCAAATCAGCCAGCGGCAACGCAGCCGCAGGTAAACGTCAGACAGCAAGGGACGCAACCGTGTCCTCACCCGTGTCCTCACCCGTGTCCTCACCCGTGTCCAGTGGAACTCAGCTGAACACCGTATCCTCAGTGCCTCCAGTCAGAGTGACCAGAATAACCAATGGCAGCTCCAGTAAAACAGCACCTCAGCCACGTGTGTCTATGCAGGGTGCATCAGTCCCCAGAAACCAACATAAGGCACCGGTTGTATTACCCACTCAGCCCAAAGTCTTACCCACAGGTCTCGTTCTGGTGTCCTCTCCATGCGGCCCCACTTCCACTAAAGCAGAGAGCAAAAGAGCCATCTCAACACCTCAGAGTGGAACAAAGCGTGCCTTGGTCACCACACAGAGGGCTAAAGGTGTTGGCAATGCACGAGTTTCTCTGGAGTCCGACGAGGAAAGAGCAGCCAAGCGTCGGGAACAGTGGCGGATCAAAAAGCGAGAGCAGCGAGCAAAGCTTGCAGCTAGGTTAGCTAAAGCCAGAGAGAGGACACAGGGTGCAGAGATGACGTTTCAGAGGCTAACGGCGCCAAAAACCAGACACGTGGGAAGCATAGTTCTTCCATCAGAGTCACTTTTGAGAGGAGCAAGCCAGAAGCAGTGTCATACACGGGTCAAAACATCACTTACATCAGCCAAAAGTGAAAACAACAAACTGCAAAGTGGGACAGCAACTGTAGTTGTAACTGCTCTGCAAACATCTGATGTTCCATCTGTGAAAAAACCAGTAGACTCTCAGGGAAAGGTTCCAAGTTACGGTCATCTTGGCGGTGTTACCCGGGGTATCGCGAGATATAAAACGCCTAGACAAAGGTTCATCGAAGCACAGAGAAACTTAATGAACCACAGAAGTCTACGGTGTAAATCCCCAATGCTGCCCTCAGCTTTTGGTACCAGAAATATGCCCAAAATCAACCCCGACGACACGCCCGAGCAGATAATAGCTAAACGGAGAGAGTACTGGCGGATCAAAAAGCGCGAACAGCGAGCTAAGCTGTCCATGGAGGTAAAGGTTCGGTTGAAAGAGAGAGATTCTTTGATGAGGAGGGTGAAACGTTACCAGAAGATCCTCGAGGAGATGAGGAAGACTAGAGTGCTGGCGCAGTCAAGCGGAAGTGCCCTCACTCACAGCCCAGAGACCATCGGAGGATTCATCAAAGAGGACGGGACGCTGACTGCTAACATCCCTCACAGTTCTGTATGTCACAGCATAGCAGAAGACAAAAGCCAAGTAGAGCTTTGTGTAGTTTCTACAAACACTCCTTTGGCACAACAACAGCGTCAGCCTGACGCTAAACTGAGAAGTGTTGCTCCCATCAGGATAAACCCGGCGCCCCCTCCTCTTTGCTCAGCTCAGGTGAAAGTCTCTGCTCCTGGACAGCTAGCCAACAAACTGCCGCGACTGCTCGCAGTTAGACCACAGACTCACCTCAAAAGCACAACTGCTCCTAATTTGCACTCATCAGCTATCCAAACTGTGGGTCAGCTCACACTTGCTCATCCACAGAGCCCTCAAAATTCAGCAGGTTCAAACGTTAGCAGTTGTGTTATGAAAATGACCATCTCGAGCAGAGCGCCGTCGCTGTCAGCCCTGTCTCTGGATGCGGGGCTGACGGAGGAGGAGAGGATGGCAAAGAAGAGGGAGTACTGGAGGATAAAGAAGCGTGAGCAGAGAGCAGCTCGCGCTGTCCGACTGAGACAGGGTGTTTTACATGCTAGGGCCGGTGCAGCCTTACAAAGGAGGAAGCCTCAGAAGCAGGGGACGCTGATCACTGTGCCTCAGAGTAGAAATCTCACCGACACTACAGCAACTGCACCTCCTCTTTCCAACAACAGCGTGCTTTTTCTGCCTCGTGCAAATGAAATGAAACAGGAGAGTGACTCCATGCCAGCAGCTGACCTCAATTCTCCACCAGAACAAGCCATCTGTCCAGATATCAAACCCCCTACTTCCCCACCTCCAGCACCCCAGCTGGAGTCTGACCCATGTCTGAGCGCAGACAGCCAAACTGCCACTCTGCTAGCTGTGGCCTCCATGAAGAAGCTCCTGGAAGAATCTCTTAGCACAGTGACAGAATGTAAAAGTGAGCAGAACTCTATTAAAATGGAGACGATAGAAGAGGTTTCACAGCAAGACATGAAGCCAAATTTATCTCAGCTGTCCTTTGAAAGGGATGACACGGCTCCTATTGCTGCTGACCTCACTCTGCAGATAAAAAGCTGGGAGCTAGA